TATATATATATATATATATATATATATATATAGAGAGAGAGAGAGAGAGAGAGATAGAGAGAAAGAGAAATGTATTTGAGATGTTTTAAAGTTAAGAAAATGAAAATAATGTCCTTCATTAAAAAAATAATTTAATTTACAAACACACGTAATGTATACACATTGAGTTTTTTTTTATCAAATGTGTTAGTTGGTAGTCACAAAATGTTTGAATTAAACTGTAAATATTCATGGGGGGGGGGTGGCGGAGAGGGAGGAAGAAAAGATCATAGTGTATTTTATTTTTGGTTAGTTTGTTCGTCAAACACATTGCTCTCGTTGATGAGAAATCCGATGTTTGCGAAAAATTAGAAGAAGAAAAAGAAAAAGAAAAAGAAGAAGTAGAAGAAGAAGAATAAAGAAATAAACTACTAAGTAAAATTCTAAATTCACAAGATCTACATTAAAATGAATTAAAAAAGAGAACAAGAAAAAAAGTTATTATTATACAGCCAATTGTAATGGTCGTCTCCATAATATTTAATCATCTCACATAAATCCCATTTGTTTATTTGTATGTATGAAAATGCAACAACACGGTGTAGAATTTATGCCATGCACAAACAATTCCACACACACACACACACACACACATTTCTATGTTTGTCCTATTTGTCTGTATAATTGTTTATTATTATTTTCTTTTTTTTTTTCCTTTGATGTATAAGTTTCATGAAAAAAAAAAAAAAACAGCCACATTGAGTGGGTAAAAAACATTTTATCCAGTCTTTGTCTATTTAACAAAAAAAAAAAAATATCATCTATCTTAATAATAACACACTCGCAGGTTTCGGAATTAACGAGAAGAATCATTTGACGAAAGAATTGTGTTTCATAAAAGTCAAAAGTCTTACCAATTATTAAATTCATAACATTCTAAGAGAAGCCCTTCTTGTCCTTCACAATTTGTACTTTTTTTTTTTCCATATCTTTTGTTTTATTTATTTTTATTTTTATATTTTGTTGTTTCTATTAAATCTTTCGTTACTATTACTCTGCTTTTACGTATGCATATAGATGCATATGTGTTTATGTGTAAATAAATATAGATATATATATATGTCTATGTTTGTGTTYGTGTTCGTGTATGTGTATGTGTTTGTATAGGTTTTATTAAATATTATTTTTTCATTTATTTTTCACTTCACCCCTGTCCTATTTTTTTGTGTTTTTTTTTTGTTTTTTATTTCTTTTCTTTTCTTTTTTTTTATTTAAAGACGAGGATGATCTTCGCTGTTTCAAAGTTTTTTTTTCTTTTTTTTTTTTTTCTTTTTCTTTACGATAGACCGTGTTGCTTCGACAGAATATAATCTGAAGTTTAATTTACAACTATTACGATAGTATTAATAATAATAATAATAATAGTAGTAGTAGTAATAGCAGTAGTAGCATTTTCCCGTATACAGAGTATTAGTGGAAAAATAAAAAAATAAACAAACAAAAAAAAAAGAAAATGACAAAAATTTAGAAAATTCATCATTCATGAACGATTTGTATTTTATAATACTCGTTAAGCTGAGTAATAAAAGCTTAATCAATGTGAATCGGAAAATTGATCCTGATCATAAATTACTGATGATTGATTCCTTACTTTGTGTGCATTATAACTGGTCTCTCTCTCTCTCTCTCTCTCTCTCTCTCTCTTTCTCTCTATCTCTTGCTCTTTAGATTGAAAAAAAAAAAAAATAAAAAGAAAGAATTTGATTTATGCTACGATCACAAAAATTCTATTCCCATTATTATTTTATTTTTAATGCACAAATTTTGATCAATCCGAAGGATTAAAATTTCCATCGCCTAAAAATATTTGTCATTGTAGAAAAATAATGAAGAAAGAAAGAGATAGAGATAGATAGAAAGAGAGAAAGGGAGAGAGAGAGAGAGAGAGAGAGAGAGAGACAGAAAGATAGGAGACAATTTTGTTATCAACATATGGAAGCTTGTGTAGTAAAATGGAAGCAAGTTATGGTTGGGGGGGGGGAGGGGTGTTTGCTTTTGTAAATTTAACAAAAGCAATATCAATTGTTTATTATTATAAACAAAAAAAAAAAACCTGGAAAATGATTTGTAATTTGGACTATATTTTTTTTTATTTTTTATTTGTCTTATTCTTCTTTTCTGTAATTATTTTAATTTTGTTTGTTTGTTTGTTTGTTTGTTTGTTTTATTTCACGAGTCACATTTAATTAAGAATTTTGTACTCAGCTATATATATATATATATATATATATATATATATGTCTCTTCTAAAGTTTTCAATGTATTTGTTCATTAACATCCTATAATGCAGTCATGTATTTTCATGTATTGTAAACGATTGTTTATTTATTTTTTTTTTTTAATTATTATTTTTTGTTTGTTTGTTTAACTACCCCTTTTCCCATTTTTCGATCGAATGTTCTCTGTTTTTTTTTTTTTACTTTTTTTTTTTCCATTCCATTCTTTCGTTCCTTCTTTTGTTTTGGTTTTATTTGTAAGATCCATTTGACGACGGATTTAGGGTTGTTTTTCTTATACATGGTTGTTGTTTATATATTGAATATAATTCGCGGGAGGGATAATACATTCTCACGTTTCCCTGAGTTTTGATTTTAGTCAAAGTTTCTTTCTACAAGTTTATGTCAACAAATAGGAGTGAAGTAGAAGAAGAAGAAGAAGAAAAAGAAGAAGAAGAAGAAGAAGAAGAAGAAGATGTGCAACGAGAGGGAATCAAGTGAAATAGAATGATAGTATAGAAAGTGACAGCGAGAAAAAACGAACGAGATAGAAAGAGAGAGATAGAGAGAAAGATAGGCAAATAGATAAAAGGTAGAGACAAATGGTATGAGATGAAAATATGAATAGAGAGAAAAGAATATGGAAGAATAGGATTCAAATGAGATGAGACATTTTTCAAGAATTTTAGAAAGACAGTTTGAAAGAGACAGAAAGAGAGAGAGAGAGAGAGAGAGAGAGAGAGAGAGATAATCTGTTTTTCGGGGAATGCATTAAACGCAGTAGAGAAATATTACACATCGATGAGGCATTATGTACGCGATGGAGAAAAATTCATTGTTTATATAATAAACCCAATTAGCGTCCTCTTGCCCATCGCAATATGGCATCAGCTAAGACGTCGAGGTGCGCCCTCGTCTGAAAAAGAAAACAAAAATCACAAATTTTAATTAACTTCTTTTTTTTTTTGGGTATTTACGTATTAACGTAAGCCATTGTAGCAAAAATTTCGCTAATGCGCCAATAAAGTGCAATATTGTTGTTCGTACAAAACAATCTTGTTGTTTGCACACAGCAACAATCGTCAGGGTTTCGTCAGGGTTTTTAATCTATGATTTGTCGCAACAATTTAAGGTTTCTGATTGGCGCATTAGCGGAATTTTGCTTTCTTTTCTTTCTTTTTTCTATATCCTCGTTTTTTCTATTCCATATTACAAATTTTATTTAATATGTCACAATTAAATTATAATATAATAACGAATCTTAGAGTAAAATTAAATAATCTGTAAACCTGACGAAATATTAGTTAAACAAACAATTCAATATAATATACCTGTGTGTGTATCAATGTTTACAATAATAAATGTTTAAATGCATGTTAAATCTATTAATGGATATATCATGCGAGATATAATATTAATTTATAAATAATAATATTAAATGAAATAATAAATGATGAAACAATTTCTACCGCAAATTCTAACGCATACATAGAAAATATTATTCATGAATTTCATCAATCACTCAATCACTTCAAAAGACAAATCCCTTTCTTATGCCCCCTATTCCTACAAAACCTTTAAAAAAAAAACACACATCCCTTTTCGCACATAAATTCCATCCCTTATAAATCGTATTTTACATCCCAAATCGTTCTCCTTTCTTTTCTAAGAAAAAAAAACCAAAACAATATTTGATTATTATTCCCAATTTATATTCCCATATATATATATATATAAAAAAAAAACGAATGATTATTTATGTGAAAACCTTTATTCAAAAATAATCTCAATTTCTTATCTCGAGTCATATTTCACATATCGTTCAAGATTCTTCTTCTTATTATTATACAAAATTATTATAATATTTTATTATTATTATTATTATTATTATTCCTAATTCATATTCGCGTATAAAAACAAATGATTATTTGTGCAGGTTGTGATAAATTTGGTAGATGTTATAGATGGTTCAATAATTTCTGCCATTCGGAAGTTTCAGTTGATATCTGATCGAAGTTACGAAAGATAACGTTACATATATAGATGGATAGATAGTATATGTGAAAGAGAAAGAGACAAAGAGAGAGAGAGAGAGAGAGTAAGAGAGAGAGTGTGAGAGAATGACGTTTGTAGAAATACAGGTTGGTCTACTAACGCAGTAGAGGATTTGTCCTCGAGGGTGTTTCCTTGGGATGGTAGAGTTCTGGACACCGTATGTGTTTGTGAATGTGTCATGATCACTCACTCACACACTCTCTCACTGACGCATAAAGGGACGCGCCCACCTGATATTCCAAAGCATATCATATGCGACCATCCATCCCGTCAAGACTCGGAAAATGTATAGAAAAGCCAGAAGCCCTTTTCATTGAGCTTTGCTATTTTAGTCCTACGTAATATTAATTTGTTATGGATGAAAATAATTACATAGATAATATACAGGATGATGGTGGTGGTGATGTGTGTGTGTGTGTGTGTGTATTTGTGTATATCCCAAAAGTCCGATTTAATTTAATTATTATATTAGAAATTTATTATGTAATAAAATTCTTCGCGTGTAACCTACCCCCCACCCACCCACGGTATTTTAGTTTCAGAAGGGATTGCTTGTTGACGTTCACAAGGTTTTTGTTTTAGGATAATGTGACTTTTGGGACATCCTGTATATTTTATATGTGCTCTCATTCTGTCTTCTTGGTTTTAATCTAAATCAAGGTATCCTTCGTAGTATTGCATGAGAATAATAATAATAACAGTAAGTCGATTGGACCTACATAGACGTTATTTTCTGATCTATTGAAATAACTTGAACAATATGTTACATTCTCTCTCTTTCTCTATCTCTCCTTCTCTCTTCTCATTATTTTATTTTCTCTTTAATTTCAATTTATTCTAACATATCGTACGGTTTCATGTAAGATAAGTAATTACAATCATGTATTATAATAAATGATGATTGTACCAATTCGTTGTTAATTAAATCGAGAGATTGCACATCTTGAAATATTAGATAATCATGAAAATATTTGGTATTCATTCAAATTATAGAGTTTAGGTGGTTGGCATAATAAAAGATAACCTTAGGCATAAATAACATGATAACGATAAGTTAGCAATTACCTAACCAGCTGAATTTAACCGTCTAAGGATGATCGCAATCGCGGTGATCGTCAAAAGGCAATTATCTTTGAGCAAGCATTAAACTGATAATCGAGCTGGAAGTTGATGATGATGATGGTGATGATAATGATGATGATAATGATGATGATGATGATGATGATGATGACGGTTTATGGGTTAGATGGTATATTACTATTGTTTGTGACGACTAACGATGACGACGATCACCATCTGACGTCACAATTTCTTACCCTTCTCTCTATTTTTTTTTAATTTTATTCTTTCATATTAATTTTCTTTTTGTTCTTTTTTACAACGTAAAGGGGGGAGGAAAAAAAAATATTAACATCGATAATTAATTATATACGACGGGATTAATAGATCGATCACGTGTCTAAGAAATTTTTTAACGTGTTTACACACCCACGGGATTGATCGAAAGTTTGTAAATAATTTTGTTCAAATCAATTATCTCTCTTTAGTTTTTTTTCTTTTTTTATTAACGTCAAATTTGTTAGCTTCACTCAATGAAATTATATTTATGACAAATAGATGATTAATTATAAGAATAATATAATATTATTGCAAAATTATTTTTACTTATTTATTTAATAATTATAAAAAAAAAAAATGAAAAAATGTGCGCCTGTAAGAATGCAACACACCAGACACACTTTACAAATGTTACTCGCGAGCGACATCTACTGAGACGGAAATTTTTTTAAGACCAAACTGTTCATACACGCGTGTATTACGGGTTGCCTATCTTTCGGGTAGAAAAAAAAATTTCGTCCCAACAGATGTCGCTCGCAAGCGACATTTTCAAACTGTGTCTGGAGGGTTGCATTCCTACAGGCGTTATGTATTAATAAATAATGATAAAAATTTAACTTTAATTTAATTAATTTAACACAAACAAAGCTTACAGCTAAAATTGAGAATAGGAAAAACTGTATACCATAGATCTATATTTTCAAATCATCCCCATTATAAAGAAATATTCCCTTAAAAAATATTAATATATCTTACAATGAATATTAATTTAATTTAATAAATCTAATGTATGAAGTGTTCTGTAAAATATTGAATAATAATTCTCTATCCTTTATTTATCTATCTAATCCTAGAATATAATATTCATAAATGTGTTCATGGTGTAACCAACGTCATATTGTAAATCTAAAGATATATAAATGTATTTTAATAAAAATAATACGAAATTCAGATAACTCAGTAAGAACATCTGATCTTAGAAGATATCTCGGTAAACTCGTAGAACATTTCCGAGAGTCGAAAAGAAGAAAAGGTTTGCCTTACGTTATGCGGATTATCGATCAAGGAAGGGAAACCTTCACCTCCTCCCCTCCCCCATCACACAACCTTCTCTCTCTCTCTCTCTCTCTTTCTCTCCTACCATCGGAATGACGTAGGAAGGATGTAAGAGATAAAAGAAAAGAATATTATTACATTATACGATCGTGAAATTTAGTGCTGAAAAATTCGTGATCCTTGGGTAAATCGAAAATCGTGTCGACGTAAAAGATAAAAAAAGAAAGAAAGGAAACACAAAAAAAAGATAGGAATGGGGAACTTTTGGTATGTGAGTAATGGGGGAAAATAAATATATAATATATAATAAAAAAGAAAAAAGAAAAAAAAAGAAAAAAGAAAAAAGAAAAAAGAAAAGAAATATATAGCAATAACGGCAATGGCCAACACCCACCCATCCTTCGGTTATCCTCATGCTTGTGTTTTGCCCATGAGAATAAAAAGAAAGAGAAGGAAGGGAAGGAAAATTGGAGAAAATGTCATAAGGTTAAGAAAGTTTTTCCCTTTACCTCCACCTCCACCACCTCCTTCGCTTTCCATCATTTTTGCTATTTCCACCGTCTCCTAACTCACCTTCTTTCTTTTTGCCCCCATCCTTTTCTTATCAGCCATTATATCTTGGCTTGGATGACGACGGTGCGAATGGTGTTGCTCGAAACTTTGTGCAATATCGTTTCAACGTTACTATCGACGCCCACGTATCGAAATAGACAGAGAGACAGAGAGACAGAGAGAGAGAGAGAGAATGAGAGTGAGAGAGTGAGAGAGAATTATTGTACTCATTGATTTGGATGTGTCGATATTTCGTATGCACCGATTTGATTTTCCTCCTAATTAGATTTCAACCTTCACCAACAACATATAGTTTCTAGTATGAGTGTATATACTGCAGATATGTATAATTGTACGTGCGTATACTGGTATATAATATTATTTACTAGGGGTGCCCCGTTATGCATTACTGTAGCTCACAATCAGTCCGATACACACATCTTTAAGTCACAATTCGCAATAAAATAATATTGCCAATTATAAATTGAGATATTAACAATCCTATCTTTTAAGTTGAATGAAATTGCACAAAGTGTGTAAAATTTGATGAAAATCGGTTCAGTAGTTTAAAAGTCCATTGCTAACAAACAACGTGACGTAACGTAATTTATATATATATATATATTAAGATTACATAGAAATTTATGTTTATTATCAGACTATTTTCTTTTATCCATTAATTACTTGAATCATTTTAGATATCTTATCAAGGATATGATGGAGGATGAAGTTAAAAAATGATTTCTTTCATTCGTCTTACTTCATCTAACTTTCTTTTTCGTTGGATTAATGTTTACTAGATGGATATGAAGAAAAATTTCCAGAGAGAGAGAGAGAGACTTTGAGTAGGGGAGTGGGAGGGAAGAAAAAACTTGTGCGTATATATAGATATATATATACTTTTTCTTTTTTTTA